CATGCATAAATGGTTCCAAAATTTTGGATTCTGCTCAGTATTACTGTCATTTAAAACTATATTGTAGTGCAGTCTTGAATACAGCAACATACAAACCTCAGTGTTTCATTTTTTCAGTGTTATTGTACACTTTGAATTTCTCCTTTTCTATTTTTAGGGATGTTTACAGATCCCCTTTGGGCTTGATCTTGCAAATGCTGATGCATGTATAACAAAATGTAATTAAACCCTCGTTTGGCCAGTCCATCTCTAGACATTAATTAGCACTAGGTTTGAAAGCTTGCTTGGAGGAATTAGCTCTAAACTCATAGAATACCTGGCTTTCATTAAGGAAGTAATGTAGTAAACATTGTTTGAGCCAGAAGGGAACAAGTGACAGATTGATGTGTTTTTCTGCTCTGGAATTTCTTCCACAGATTTCTATGGAAAGCCTCTGCCTCCACTGACTCTACGCCAAAGACCCAACAGCGATACCCATGATGTCATTGCTTGACTGGAGCACAAAGAGAATTTTAAAAAAACATAAATTAAAAATCCTATTTTTTTTTTTACCCTTGAAGGAAAATTTTGTACGTGACATTTTATCAGTGTGTGGCAACTAAACATGGAGTTCATCCTGTTGTGCTTAATGGTCAGACTTTATCATTTACTTTTCACATCACCAGCTCTTCTTCAGGATTTATGTGGTTTACTTGTGAAAAGACATGGCTGTAAACCTGAAGAAAAACACCTTCAAGATCCCATAATACTGGATTGTACATTCCCACCGAGACCTTTCTCCAGGTGCTGTGCAGGTGTTGGTATTTTTTCAGGGAATAAATTATTCTAAAGCATTTTGTAAGATTCCTGTATGATAGGATGAATATAGAAAGGTTAAACAAATATTGAATATATTTTTCTACCTTTTTATAAAACAAGTTGAAAGTTTGAGTGGAGCTCAGTTCCTGCTACCAATGGAATGATACCTAGGGAGCATTATAAAGCTGATAGTCAAGTGCATAAAAATAAAGTGTGTTTGACTCTTATATTTCTTTTACAGTACCAATACCTTTTCTTAGGTATTACACTACATATTTAATATTTCTGACAATCTGAAGCAGAGGGTACGATAAAAAAAATGAAAATAAATATATTTTATATAAAATAATGCTATTTGAAATATCTGGAGGTTTTCTTACCTGTTGTTTTATTTGTTTTGTTAACTGAGTTTGACATAGGTAATAAATTCTGTGGAAAAATATAGAGTGAATACTGTATTGTCTACTACAACAAACAGGAAAATTCACATAGTGGGAAATTTGCACTAAATAAATAATCAGTTTTGATAGGAAACCAAATCAACCAGTATGCAGATGATCTCCCTCAGTTTTTAATCTCAATAATACTAAAATATCATCTTGCAAACTGAAGAAACTCTGTGTTTTTAAGGATTTCTTTAACACTTCCATGTAATGTGTTGAAAATCGCATACCAGTTATACCTAAACAAGAAGGGTTACAATTTGTTATATTCCTGTTTAAATATTTTTACTGTTACATGGGAGACAACCAGTGGTGTATGTGTAGAGGTTCATTGTTCTGCCACTTAATGACAGACAGGAGGAAGCCCCCATTTGGGGGTTTTTTGGAGAAGCAGTATTTGGTTATTTTATATTATGGTCTGTCATCAATAATGTGGTTTTACCAAAGGAGTTTAGATGTTGAAACAATGTGATGTGTTACGTGTTCAGCACTTTGATATTGGAAATCCTCACCATGCACCCCTTGTAGCAAGGAGTTGCAGAAACATCTGCCATATTAAAATGAAATAATTAAGATTTTTTAAAGAGTAAAGTGGAATCAGTCTTAAGGATACTAAGTTTGGAATAGGTGGAGAGGTTTATTCCTCTGTTTACTAGTGTAGAGAAAGAAGGAAACAATTTCTATGTGACTACCAGCATGAGAATACTTCTGTTGTATTCTAATAGTGGAACATGATTCAGTGGAATTATTCTCAGGATTTGGTCATTTTCCTTTCAGACAACACAATACGAAGTGGAGAGGAGGTTGCACAAAAATTTATATGTGCAATCTCCACTTTACTAACACTAGTTTTGTTACCACTTAAGTTTTTGGCTTAAAGGCTCTACTTTTGCAGACTTACTTTTTTACAGCTTCAATTTCTAGGAATGTATTACAGTTTTGTTTTCCTTCTTTCCTACAATAAATCATGGAAGTCTTTATTAAAAATAAAGCTAAATACTGCTGTGGTAACAAATTTGAGAAATGAAAATGCTGATGCTTATATATGAACTGTGTGTTGTGTGTGTGGACACATGTATCATTTTTGATTTTTGCTTTTAAAAAAAATTTTGCCAGTATGTGACCAATGTACTCAAAAATGTTTTATAAGTTTTTGTTTTATTAATATGCTTTGTAATTATTTACTATGCTGGGGTTTTTTTCAGTAATTTATACTGCTATGACTTTTTATTTGCTCAAGATGACATGTATAGAATAAAACTAATGCAAAGCCTCAACATGTTTCCTGTGTTTACAATTTTGTGGGAGTAAGTCTAGTCTATAAATATTTAAGGGCTACAAGTCTCATGTTCCTAAAATGTATGAAATAGAGTCCTTATAGACAGAATCTTTGCATATTTTTGCAGGAGAAATGTGATCACATTTAGAACATACTGATAGATTGGCAATAAGTTGAGTGTATATGTATACCTATAAAAAGCTTTGATAGTGCACTTAATATTTGAGAGATAAAAATGGTGCAGCTGTAAATTGAGAGCACAAATTAGATTTTGCCAGATATTGTCATCCATAGCACGACTTTCAAAATATATCAATGCATGCAGCTAAGAGTACTTGTATTTAAATACAGGAGTGTTAAGAACACAGAAATTCACTATTTAAGCAGAACATTTTGTATTATCTGTGTCTAATGTCTTGAATACATTGTAGACAAAATATTTTAAAGGTAAGCTAAAAAGTATCTTCTAAGAAGGAATAGTAATGTTCATTTACTGAATTAATGTGAGAGACTCAGTGCTTTAAAATAAGTTGTTCAGTTGTCTTCCCTTTTAGTCACACCCTAGAATCCAGAGAAAGACCTTACTCACAGATTTCAAGGTTTTTGAATCAAAATTATTAAAAATATACATATTTGGTATCCATTAGGTCTCTGGTGTGAGATTGGAAAGGATTGATGGACTGTAACAAGGTAAATAACATTGATACTTTTTTTCCCCTTTAAACAAGATTCAAGCAGTATTTTTTCAAGTAATATATTCCAGTATTTTAGTGGGAAGTTTAGTACTGTAACTTCAGGATGCTTGCCCAATAACTTTGCTATCATGTTAGCTTCTTGACTCCTGAGATTCATTCAGTTTTGAAATAGAACATACCCACTGTATTTCATTTGTAAATGAGATAACTAATAGAGCCTGTTGTAAGTGTAATTTGAAGTAAGTTTATTTGCAGTAGCACATGAGAGGGATACAAGATGCATTACTGCTGTTTGCAGTTTGGCTGTGATGGTGCTGATGAACTGGAGTCCTTTCTTTGGTGGAAGTCTGGCATCCATGGCAGCATCTATCATATATAGCCATAGATTTAAGGGAAGGTGATTCATTCAGCAGACCTTTTTGTTGTACTGTTACAGTGAAGTTCAATTCTTGTGTACGTTTTCTGGTGTGGTACTGCCTGGGCAGAATTACAACCACAGAGAACTACTTTTTATACCAGTTTTGTTCTGTGTCTGTCAGTAAAACTCACTTATCAAAAAGCCTTTCAGCTTTCCTTCACATTTGATATGTAAGAGGTCTCTGTTTTGCCTCCAGGCCTTTTGTCACAACTCTGATAGAAGCATTTTAAATCAACTTTCAAGCTAATCTGCATGAGGTGAGCAAAACCACTTAGTCTTCATTAGCTGGTGCCTGAAACTCAAATATTTATCCATACAACAGCACTCCTGCCTTTACCTTTGCACCCCTTTCCAGTCTGGATTTCCAGGCTGGGTTCAGCCTGCAGAAGCTTTAGTTAAAGCCACTCTTAAACAAGTTTGCTGCTTCCACAAGGCTTGATCTTAGCAAGAGAGTTGGCAAATGGGCACAAAAGGGTTTGTTTTTGTTTTGCTAGGACACATTGATTGCTGGATGCCCTTTCTTGAAGGAGCAGTTTGCAGGTCTCAGTTCTGTCCAGACGAAGGGATCAGATGAGAGCAGCCTCTGATTTTAGTGCTGCTGAACGAGGTGCAGCTGAACTGGGATGCAGTGGTCCTCCTGATTCCTGTCCCCAGAGAATGTTTGATCTGAAAGTGTGTGACAGAAATTTCTGTGAATAATTAATTCTCAAGCCTCCAGCAGTTTTTTTTTCCATAGCAGTAGCAGTGGGTTAAGCTGGAGCTGATCTCCAGTGTGGTTCAGATGAGCTGAGTACCACTTCTAAAGCCTTGGGCAGATAGGAAAAAAGATCTGGTGAGGCACAAGCCGAGACCTGATGTTTGGGGGGTGTGGGTGCCATCAGACCCTCCAGCAGGCGCTGGGATGAGGATCACTTTTGTAAATTGATTAGGTGAGAGCCCAGCTGCTGTCTAATCCTGTTTGGCTATTGGTGAGGCAGAGGAGTTGGGATGGCAAGTCAGGCTGCCACAGTAAAGAAGAAAAAAAAAAAAAAAAAAAAAGGCAGCTAAAAATTAGGAAGTGTGGGTTTTTTTTTGTTTTGTGTTTTGTTTTGTTTTGCTTTTTTAGTGTAAGAGTAGGAACGAGGTTCCCAGGGAAGTTGTAGGATGCCTCAATCGTGGCAGCGTTCAAAGCCAGGTTCGATGGGACTTGAGCATCCTCCAGGGGATTGTGTCCGCACCCCTGGCCGAGGGGTTGGGACCAGCTGGTCTTTCAGGTCCGTTCCTGCCCCTCTACGTTCCGTGGCGCTGTGAAGAGCTCCGATTCCCGGCAGCGGCGGCTCCGAGCGCGGGGGCCGGGCCGCGGCCGCCCCGCCCCGGGCAGTGGGGCCATGCGGGGCCCGGCGCTGCTGCTCGCCCGCCGTGCCGGGGCCGCGCTGGGGCTGGGGCTGGGCCGGGCGGCCGGGCAGGACCCGGGGCAGGTGAGAAGGGGCCGGGGCCGGGGCCGGGGCTGGGGCTGGAGCCTGAGCCAAGCCGGGAGAGCCGGGGCCGGAAGCGCGGAGGGAGGGCCCGGCCGCTTCCTGCGCGGGCCGTGCGAGCAATAGACGGGAGAGAGCCCGCCCGTCCCGTGTGTGTTGCCCGTGTTTCTCCTCCGCAGCGCCGAGTGCGCCCTGGGTTTCTGTACCCGCGGCCGGCAGCTGCTCCGGCACTGACAGAGCCTTCCCTGGTGCCCCAGCTCCGTCCCGGTGCTGTTTTTGGAAGGAGCGCCCTGGGACGGGACGGGACGGGACGGGAGGGCTGCTGGGTGCCCCGAGGGAGGGAAATTCAGCGTTTGCCCTCGGGGTTTGCTTAGACGCCAAAAGCTCTTTCCCTTCCTTTGTAGGGTAATCTCTATCAATAGAGTGCCAGGCAGCACACTGGGTTATCAGCACAGTGGATATGGAAGGTATTTATTAACCTGCCGAGCAGGGAGGAAGAGTGTGCTGTAGCTTAACTCCTGTGCTCTCTGAAATGTCTATTACATCTTCATCACATGAAGATGTGACATTTAAGCATTGTAATATCACTGATGCTAATATGTAAGCATTCCAATAACACTGATACTAAATTGATGTCATTAGCAAGATGTTTTTTATTAATTCTAGCGAGTACTAGAGAGGGTTTAATTTGGCTTTACTCCTTTTTTTTTTGTTCTTGCTTTCTCTGAAGCTGGAGAAGAAGGCAGAAGGGAAGCTCCAGAAGCAGATCTGCCAGGTGGTTCTGGATCACTTCGAGAAGCAGTACACGGCAGAGCTGGGAGATGCATGGAGCGGTGTCAGGTCTGTGGCTTTGGGGACATGGAAGGAAAGGGAGACATAAGGAATTGAATTAGTAATGACACGTGTGGTAAAGGCTGTCACTGAATTTGGGTCTTGATCACACAGCTGCTAAAGAACTTCATTGTTAAAAAACAAAAAGTATCCACCCATAGCATTAGTTTAATTGAGTCAACTTAAGAGCTCTTCGATTGGATCAATGTGTTTTTCTGCTTTAGACAGTGAATACTCCTGAGAAATATATTTTTTTAATTTTTTTTTTTTGAGATTAAATGAAAAATTGCTAATAGGAATTCAAACAGATATGGGGGGAAATCCCTGTAAGAAAGAGCAAACTGAAATACAAACAAGCATGGTTCTATCACATACCACTGCTTCTAAAAATATCTGTAGATTTAAGTTTTGCTGGCCCGGTGTTTGCAGAACACAAAACGTAAAAAAGAAAACTTGTAAAAATGGCATTTTAGTGTTGGCTGGAATGAGCATTGTAAAGCTAATGTCTGTGTGATTATTTTTGTTGTTTACAGCTAATACTACAGTTATTCTTTGTCCCCAGGGAAGCACTTTATAGTCAGGAAAACCATTATGCTTCATCATTTATATCTCCTACATTAAAAAAATGGAGACTATCTTGTTTCAGAAGAAATTGGTGCTTTAAGTGCAATCATTAGAAAAAACAGCGGCTTGATTTCCTATTAAAATTATTTTCCTGTGTACTTTTCTAACCAAAATGGTTAATTTCACTCTCAAAACAATGAATTCCTGATTACACCAGAATTATCCAATAGTGAGATTGTATGTAAAGTTTGATGAGTTATTGAATGGCTTTTCCTTTTTTCACCCTAGAGATGTGCTGACCTCGCCGTGGTGCTGGCAGCACGCTGTGCTGCTGAACAGGTTTGTGAAAAAGAGAATGCAGTTTGTAGAATTTTTTAAAGTTGAATAATAATAGGACAAAGAAGGACAGTATTTCTAGCACTGGGGTGCTCCTGGCCAACAGCCAGAGAAACTTCTGTGTATACAAACAGTGTTATCTTTATACTCTTAAATCACTGAGGTACATGCATATTCATGTGTTTCATATATTATTCAAACATTCTTGCTAATTTTCTGATGTTTTGCAACTCTTTTATTTGATTTCTTCACACACTGCCTCGTCTGCATGGCATCCTGGGAGTCGGGTCAATATCTTTTATTTCTTCTTGTGTCTCCACCCTGCTGTTTCACATCCTCTGATAAGGATTTGCTATGTCCTCCTTAAATTTAATGTGGTATCTCTAATTGTTCTCTGGAGCTCTGGTTTGTGTCGTGGTTATCTTATCGCTTGGACAGGTTGGCCAGTGGATGGCCTTCCACTGTTTTAGTTACACAAAAGCCTTTTTCACATCTTATGTTTTGCCTAGGTCTGTAATACAATACATTAATCACACTGTTGTTTCCATAAGTGATACATAGATATTATATTCATTAAAGTGCTATTTCTGTGAGCAACAGAGTGCACCCTTAAACTGATCGATTCTATTATATTAAAAGCAGCTAAAAAGAGATAATAATTGACACTATTTCTAAATACTTATACTAATAACTAACTAATCACTAACAACATGCATAAGCTAGTACATAAATGAGAAAGCCAATATTATCTGGTCATTTTTCACAGGTTCAGCCGGAGCCCTGGCCTGGAGAGCAGCCTGGCTGAGCAGGGATACCGTCCTGCCTTCCCAGCAGCCCTGCCCTACCTCCCTGCGGCCTTCAGGTGTTACAGCAGGGCAGCTCCTGGCAGATTCCCTGCCCAGAAGCACCAGCCTGGCAGGCTGAAGGAGTATTACCTGCTCAATGCTGCCTCGCTGCTGCCCGTGCTGGCCTTGGAGGTGAAGGATGGGGAGCGTGTTCTGGATCTCTGTGCTGCACCAGGGGGAAAGTCTGTAGCTATCCTGCAGTGTGCCTGCCCAGGTAATGGAGCCAGGTGCTGGTGGGGGGGAAAAAACCCAAACAGTTTGTGTTCCACCTAGTTCTGTGCTGTTTCATAAGGATTTTATGAAATCTTTGTTTGCCTTTTAAGCATTAAAAATGCAGTCGTTACTTTAACATAGGTTACTGCAGAGTGACAGGCAGAAGTAGAGCAGCTCTGTGCATTTTTTCTCAACTATTACCTCTCCAGAAGTTGCTTAAAGCCGTATCAGTTTGTTGGCACAGTGATGTAAGTAATCTGTAATCTTATTCTTGTCCTTTTTTCCTTTTTTTTTTCCTTCTTCTCTGTCGCCTCTTTTGTCAATACTGTGCAAACACTACAGGTAAATTCAAGTGTGCTGATGTAAAGCAGAGCTTAAGAAATTAGGCAAGATGCAGTCTTTAAATGTGCAAGATCTGGGCAAAGGGAAAAGGTTTATGGTAAGGGACTGGTTGGAGGAGGATTCTGAGATGATCAGAGTGTTGAGAAGGCAGCAGCAAGCAGCAGCTTGGGCCAAGGAGTTAAAGCAAGCAGGGATTGCTGTGTCCCAGTTTATTTTTTTTCAAAATGCTCACAGCACCTTGTGCTCCTGCTGGTGAGACCATTACTATAACCACTTGCAGCAGCTGATTACAGCTGGTTTCCCTCCCTTCCTCTTCTAGAGGAATGGGGTGATGCTAATGAAGTGAATTAAATAGGAATTGTCCTTTCAGAAGTGTAGAGGAAAAAAAAAACCCAACACTTTACCTTCTGTCTGCTTCTGGAGAGACCTGTTGCTGAATGGGAGATGTGAAGAATTTGATTCTTAATATACCTCAGTGAATGCTAGGATGCACCTTAAGATAGACAAAATTGATGCTTTATTTATTTAAAAGGCAGTTTAATAATATGGGGCATGCACTTCATTTAGATGGTGGCTCAAGGAGCCCAGGAAGACACTCACTCTTTGGATATGGGTCGTGATTAAAGTTTGTTTTACTGTGCTATTGCTGCAGAAGGATTTGCTAGTAAATATTTAGGGTTTGCTCTGTAGGAGCATGCTGAAATTTATTTAGGTTTATAAAAATTCAACAGTGTTCTAAAAAGTGCAATAACCCAGGCACATAAGGTGTAAACTCCATGGTAGTCATGGCAGTGCAGTAAAACTTCCAAAATGGGTCTAACTCCTCACATTTGTGAAAAAAAACCCCAGAAAAATATATAGAGACTTATCTTTGGGTGTTTACTTTTCTTTGTTTTTCCTTAATTTTCTAAGGTCATTTTCACTGTAATGAATATGATGATTTGAGGTCAAGATGGTTGGAGCAGACAATAGAATCCTTCATCCCAGATCCTGTCATTAACTTGATAACAGTCTCTAAACTGGATGGTAGACAGATTGGAGATCTTCAGCCTGAATTTTATGACAAGGTAACATTATTATTGGCAAATTATATTTCTGCATCCTGATTCTTCTTCTTCTTACTATGCTGCTGTCTTTCTAATTTTCTTTTTTTTTTTCATTTTTTTCTGGTCCCTCCACAAAAATTCCTGACCTATCAAGGGGAATAAAGTAATGTACAGGATTTGTAGAGCCTTAGGAAGCACTTCATGAAGCTTGTTGTGCATTTATTCCTGTGCTGGATAATGTTGGGAGTGAATTCTGAACACCTTGTAGCTGTTATTTTTGCATGATGTGTAATTAGGAAGGGGAGGACAACAAGAGGGAGCTGCTCAGGTAAATCTTACTTTCAGTGCACTATTTTTTTTATTTTCCCAACTGCTAACCCCATAAAAGCATCTAAAATAGTAATGGGATCATTTCACCCCCAAAATGGAAAATAAAATTTTCTTAATATTGGCAAAAGAAAATTTAATATATTTCGGTGTTCAAAAAGTGACCATCTTTGTTGAGTTTTTTAAAAATAATGTTTATTTTATTAATGGTTTAGGTCCTGGTTGATGCTCCTTGTTCAAATGACAGAAGCTGGCTCTTCTCTGCTGACCCTCAGCAAGCTGTGCTCAGGCTCATGCAAAGGAAGGAGCTGTCCTCCCTGCAGTTCCAGCTCCTAAGGTGAGAAGTGCAAAAAGGTAAAGGAACTTTGCTGTAACTAATAAAAATTACATGGGAGCAAGATTTAATAAACCAACCCAGGATTCTCCCTCTGGAAATAATGTCAGGAATATGTGGCTGTTTAGAATAACCAGTGGGTTCTGTGATAATGAGGATGTGGAAATATCTGTGGGTGATATCAGCAGTGAGCCTTGGTCCTCTTAACTCACTCACAGGGATGTCCATTTGCAGATGACTCACAACAGCCTGGTGTAAAATCAAAATATTTTAGGTGTACACAGCTGAAATGGGTTTAGATATATTCCATATTGATTGTTTGTAGCACAGAAAGGCTCCCAGTCCTAACTGGCAGGGTAAAAAGTAAAACAATGTGAGGTTTGGTGAGGGAAAGAGAGGATTGTTTGTTTTTGAGAACATGCCCCCAGTAATCCAAGGCCAGGCTCTCGTGTATTACACATTTTAAAGCTACCAGCTCTGGGCTGATATTTGTGAAGCATTTCAGACTGCACAGTTTTTCTCATGGGGGAGAAAAAAGAGTGACTTTTCAATAAAACCTTCTAAAATAAAACCTTGAATGTTATTTGTGGAGTAACAGTCATGCCTGAAGTCCATCTGTCAAAGCAAATTGAGGGAAAAATAACATATTATTAAAAAAAAAAGGAAAATTTTTATGGAAAGTTCCCATTGCAGTTCAGGATAGTTTAGCAAGACTTGCAGTTGAAAAAGGCTTGGCAGAAGCCTTTGATTTATAGCAGAAATATGAGGATCTTATTGCAGTAATGCATCATGTCATCCATTTCCTTTGAAGAAATCAATCACATTTAAAACACTGACCTGTTCCAGTTTTCCCTTTTCAATATCTGACATGGAAAATCCAATTTGTGAACTTGTAGCAAAAGGAAGCATACATCATGCAGAGAAATTTTGAGAATTTGCATAAATCATTCCACATTGTAATCCTGGAGAACTCGTGACAGCAGAAACCTTGTTTAAAAAAAAAAAATACATTCCTGTCAGCCCAAATCAGATTTAATTGAATTATTCCTAAATAGAGAGAGAACTTTCTGTTGAAAATGTTCTTTACCTCAGCAACAGTAATAAGAATTTGTAAAGACAAAATACCTTTGCTATATAAATTAGTAAAATACCTTTGCTATATAAATTGTAGTACAAGGATGGTTATTTTCAGGAGTTAGAGTTTATAAGGGTTATTGGTAAAGTATATATGGCCTTTTGATTGGGTTATTTGTGTTACTGGGTAAAATATTTAAAGGATAGCTGTCCACTGACTGGTTATTGTTCTATTCACCTGATCACTTCAGAATGAATTCCCAGTTCTAAAGACATCTCAGATCCCATGTGAAAGGGGAAAAAGGAAATGATAAAGCAAGATCACAAAAGGCTGAATGGGTTGTGACAAGTGCATTAGAACTAAAATTCTGGAATGCTTCCCTATTCAAGCCTCTGTTTAATGACTAGAGTGCGTAATTACAAATAAAAAGTTGAGTTTGAATCCCTTCTCTAGTACTTCCAATAAAATTCAGGAGGGCTGAGCCTCCATGAATATTACTACAAAAAAAAAAAAAAAAAAGAAAGAAAGGCTTTTCTGCTTTTTACACAGCCAGCTCATGCAGGGCTCTCTCTGGTTCATTGATTCAGGTTACCTGGTGCTTGATGCTCCCAGGTGTTCCTGACCTTGGTTCCTCTGTCTGTAACCAAAAACAAGTGTAAGGCTGAATCCCAGCAGTTTCATTGAGAATAGTGTAAGAAATACATTATAAGAGCATGGAGTGACAGGACCAGGGCAAGGGCTTCAAACTGAGAAGGAGTGGGTTTAGATGGGACAAGAGGAGAAAATTCTTTGCTGTCAGAGTGCTGAGGCCCTGGCACAGGGTGCCCAGAGGAGCTGCCCCTGGATCCCTGGCAGTGCCCAAGGCCAGGCTGGACAGGGCTTGGAGCAATTTGGGATAGTTTGGGGGTTGGACTGGAAATGGATGATCGTTAGGTCCCTTCCAGCCCCAACCATCCTGTGATTTGAAAGTGAAGCTTGAGGGACCAAGCATTATTTCAGTTTAGCAGGAGGATGAAGTGTAACAAAAAAATGAGAGTGAAATGCAAAGTGGAGTTCTGTTTTCATGTCTGTCAAGCAGCAGCCTAAAATTTGATGTTCCCTCCTTAATGAAGGAAAGGCTTCACCTCTAATTTGTTTTTATGGACCTGTTTCTGAGGGAAGCTGGGGTCATCAGAGAGGGAAGTTAAGGAAGGAAAAGTAGTGTTTGCAATACAGTGTAATTAATTAAGTACATAGAGGCTTCAGAGGATGAAGGTCTGTAAGAAGCTGAGGCAACAATTTTCTTCCTGCAGCCTGCATAAAATCTGAAATGTAAATAAGTGATATAAATGCTGAACAGCAAATGTTCTAAGCAATGAGGGCACCACTGATTTGAAGGGAATTGAGATTCTAATGATTGTTCATACCCAAACCAAAGCATCCCTGCTGAGTGCTCTAATCCAAGAACACACTGCAAATCTTGTTAGTATTTGGAGTGTTCGTGCAGAAAACAAATTGCAAAGTTAAAAAAAAAGAAATATTCAATTCCTGATGCTAAATGCTAACACAAAATACAGTGGTTCCCAAAAGCAAATTTACCAATGTTATCAGTTCTCAGAGAGAAATTAAATTTTGGGCTAAGCTTGAATGCCCAATTACGTAGTGGTTAAACTGTTATGGATGTTTTAATTATTCTTAGACTGGTTTCTGCAGCTGAAAGGAACTTGTGTTAGGGCTCAGCAGAACAGAAACCCAACAGAATACAATTTAGAAAACTCAGCAAAGGCATTCAGACTGCTGGAACTCTTCTATACACAGCATCTCTGAGTAATTAAACAGCTCTGTATTCTCACTGAATTGTGGAATTTTCCACAGGAAAGGAATTATGTGCTCTTAGCTGGGCTTTTTTGTGGTTATAGAATGAATGCAAAAATTGTGTTTATAAATATATATTTAGCATATGTCACCACTGTACCATTTCTGCTGTGTGGAGTAAGTTGTGCTGGGAATTGCTTCATCACCTCTTCAGCTCTTTCCCCTGGAATTTTTCCTTGTGCTCCTCTGTAGCTGCCCAGATAATCCTTTTATTGTCCAAAACCATCTTGTCTATTAGCTCCACTGGGAATTTTTGAGAATTCCAGCTGTTGGACCAGCAAATCTGCTGTGGGTTGTGTGAATGGCAGGATTCTTTAGCCACTTTCTATCGTACAAAAGCTGAATATTTTGTGTGTGTTTGTGCTATGCCATTCCCCAAAGCACTTATGATTGGGTTATAGGAAGTTTTACATGGTTGCTTGGAATTTCTTCACAAAATGTGAGTGCTGTGGCCACTGCTGTGGTTCCAGGTATTCTGTCAGGTGTTCCATCATGTTTTATCTTAAAATAATTGGTTTCTGATTTTAAGTGTGGCAGCACACTGTGAATAACTTATGGATCAAGTCCCTTAGGATATGTTGCAAAGCCAGGTCTATTGAATATATAAATAACTGTATGACTGAACAAATAAGCTACTCAGCAGCTCTTTGGGATCACATATTTGAGTTCAGGCACAAATTTTGCTTTAATTCCACCTTCAGTGCTTTCTCTGTGTGTTTTGTGAGCTGTGAGGATAACCCCTAAAATTCTCTTTAGTGGGCTTCAAAGGTCTTTCATTCTCCCTCCTGGGCTGTCTCATATCCCTCTTTTAACAGTATGAATATTCCAGAAGTCACCATGCATTAAAGGAGAAAGATCAATAATTCTAGCTGGGTTTATGCCTTTACTTTAGCATAATTTAGAATTATTTGCAATAGAAATGTTGCTTATCAGGACTTTGGGGACAAATTTTTTCTAGGGTACAACAGACTGGGTTTGGTTGTGATGCCTGTGTTTCCTTTTATTTATAATTCAATTTAATGTTGATTAAAAGACAGTTGATTTTCATGATTCTCCTGTTATTCTGAGCTGCAGTGTTTCTCTACAAGAGCAATTTTTATTTAGAGAGGAGCAGAGGAAGTGCTGAACTACTGTCACTGCCCATCACAAAATATTAAAAAGAATTGATATTTTGACACTGAAGGATTTCCTTTATTATTTTGTCCAGGTTCAAAGAAATAAAAGCAAAACCTTTAACATGCAGGTCATATTGCCACAGAGTATCTGGACTCTTGTGAGAGGCAAAAGGTAATGTGGATATTTTAAGTCAATAAAAAGAATAGAATTGGCATTTTTTATTCTGACGAGACATTATCTTGCCTATTGAGCAGAAATACATAGTAGTTGCCAAAAGATGGCACTGTTGAAGTGTTTTGTTAGTTTAAAATTGCCCTAAAATTGTGTCATCTTTAAACTTTAATACAAAAATTGGTCGAATTATTAACAAAATTAATGCTGCCCCTTCCCATGGCATGAAGCATAAACCCACGTGTCAGAGGATAGGCTGGACATGCAGGTGCTACCTATAGTGTGGAATATATATTTTTGTTACTGTCCAATTTTAAAAGGATATTTGAGACACCAAGACTTTCCTCTGTCAGTGGGAAAAATCCTTTTTAAGCCCTGGCTAACTACATATTAGCTGCATGGAAGAGTTTTTTGGGTTTGTCATGTGGTTCCAGCATGATCATTTTTTTTCCCCTGAAATACTAAACAGTAATGCTGTTTTGTTTTCTCTTTTTTTAGTAAATCTTGAGAAATAAACTAAAATTAAAAAAAAGCTTTGAAATAATATATTCTTTCTTAAATCTTTTTTGGTACTCCTGTAATACAGGGAGTTAAGATAGATCAATGCATCTGTTGTATCTCTGACTTCCACAGTACAATATGAACCTATACCCAGAGACACACCCTGCCAAAATATAAATATAAAATATTTATATATTATATATTAAATATAAATATATAATATCTTTACTTGTTTTTTGTTAGTGCTGTAAAGTCTCATTTAGAAAGAGAAAAGGAGTAATCTGCATATGTTAATTTGTTTTACAGAACTTGTGGAATGAGATGAACAGAGAAGGGCTCCAGAAAAAGTTTCCAGGGCTCTTAATGTGTGTTTCTGATGTTTCTTCATGTGAAGCATGAAACCTTGCAGTAGTAGTGCCTGTAAGCTTATAAAATTCATTACAGGAAATATATGTACCTGAAATAGCATTAGGATGTTAACTAGATGTTTATAGCAGCTGAAAGTTTTAGCTCTTTAATAAATAAATGTAATGTGTGCTGCTAAGAGAAAAAGAACTGCCGATTAACTACTTTTAAACAATGTGAGGGTTTTTTTTAACATTGCAATAAGAGGAAGGTGGAAAAATATTTTGGCATCTTCATCATTCTAGGTTTGACTTCCCATTTTTGGGAGTCACAAAGTAACAGATAGTGAATTCCTTCAGCTAAGAGTGGTTAATTAAGATCCCAAATAAAAGAGAAATCTTAATTCCTAGATGGTGGAGTTACAGTAGGACTAAGTTGTGCTTCATCTCCAGCCTAGCCCTTGGATGAGCTGGTTTGCCTCCAGTGGTTAGAGAGGAGTTTGGTCAAATACATTTGAACAAATTCCCTGATGCTCAGATCCCGTCCTGAGTGAATTCTCTGTGCTGCTGTTGAGGAGAGGACCAAACTGCCTGGCTCTGGCCCTGCTCAGTGTCACCCCGAGTGACTTTGAGCCCAGCTCCTCCTCACTTGGAGTTTTGCAGCTCCCTGCAGGTTTGTCAGGAGCCAGGCACGGCTTAATCAGAGCTGGGGCACTGACTTTGAGCACAGGCACTGAAACAACTGTTGCTGCTCTTGACAGGATGGATAGATACATTGATTAACCTTGCTGCCTCAAGTAATTCTCCTCAGATATTTTAATTCCTGCTGCAGGTTCAAAATAAAGAGAGCTGCACTGAGCGGGCTGACCTTTTTGGGTCGTGGGCCAGTGAAGATTCATAAGCTGAGGTTTAGACACAAGGGGGTTTTGAGGTGAGTTTTTCAAGTTTTCCTTCAGAGGCCTGTGCTGCTCTTTCCTCCGATGGACTCAGTTGAAGCAGCATGGTGCCCTTGAAAATGTTGTCATGAATGGGAAGAAAAGAACATTTAGCAAGTGTCCAGGATTTTAACCTTTTAACCTGTAACTACATCTCCTTTTTTATCTTTTACCTTTCCCACTTTTACATGGTAAAAGCATTTTCTCTCTTGTCTAAATGCAGTCTTAGAGGAAGCAAAGTTGTTGCCATTATCTGCTTTTCTGAGTAAAATTCTCAGGTTTGCTACAAGTACATCTCAATTGTCACATTGAAGCGTTCCCAAGCTCACTGGCTGCCCTCAGGGCTTGGCACTCCTGCATGCATGGAAAAGGTGTAGCTGGCAGGGGAAAGTCTGTCAAAAATGAGTTATGTGGGTGGATTCTGATAAAAATCTGAAGATCAGCTCGACTTCATGAGAGCCCATTTAGATTTCACCTCTGTTCTCTTTGAGTTCTAATGTGAAAGTTAAAAAGCAAAATCCAATACATGGGGGGAAAAAGTGATTTTAATTTCCCCAAATGGGAATGAGGCCAAGAGAGAGTGCATCAGGCTTTCTTGCTGGTTTGGGGTCCATGAGAAGGGAAGGTTGCACATCCCTCCTTTGCCTGAATGTAGCAGGTAAGTCCATATATGTGGGTGCACTGGGGTTATTAATATATACTTGGCTCACTGGTTATCATAATCAAGATTCATAAAAGAATTGAGCAAGGTCATGTGTATGCTCCCAAGAGAAACAGGTTTGGTGTAATTCTCAGGAGTTTTCACCTGGTCTTATCATTGTCTGAAGCAGTGTCCTGGTGTTCCCATATTATTTTGGGCAGGACTTTCAGAGCAGCTTTGAAAGCTGTGATCAGCTTTGGTCCCCCTTGTGCTAAAGCTTTTATTTATTGATTATTTTCCCAAAAAGTTACAATTCTGTTAAATGGCTTATCTTTTCTCCCCCTTGTATTTTCTTCTTTCCTTTCTCAACTGTTTTTGGTCAGCTATCACCCTTGGGAAGTCCTCAGCATGTTTCTAGAGGAATTGCTGTTTCCACGGCATTGTCTTTGTTTATCTAGACTTGGAATCAGACTTTCTGCATTTGGGGACTGCTCACCTCATCTGGTTTGAGGAGATGTTTGTTACTTTTCTTCTTTTTATTTGTCCCAGGATATTTTTCCCCCTGGGGCTTGGGCACAGTTTTGTCAGCAACATCTACAAGTCTCTGGTTATTCAGCGTCGTTTACACCATTCACATGTTCTGGTTTTCTTGGTATTAAAGAAATGTTACTAAGGGAACAAATGTATTCAATGTATTATTTTCCTGTAGTAGTTGTTTGTATACCAGCTTACAATGCAGTCTTTGACCCAAAAATGGCTCAAAAACATATGATTTAGTGCGATTTATATTCAGACAGTGTTTTAAATGCAAAATTAATCTTTTGTGTAGCTTCTTTTAGAAATGTGGTGGTACCAGGTTTGAAGAATACTTCTGTGGTGCAAGATTTTTGAGTTTTCTCCTTACTCTTTTAATTTGGAGTAGGTGAATACAAGTTGCATATCTCATTTCTATATGTTGTGTTTCGTGTGTCTGAGTAAGGACTTGGCAGATCTTGTAGTGGGAAATAAGCAGTTTATTTAAATTCACTTTCAGTGGTAAAGAGCCTCCCTCCACCCAGCAGTAGTTGTGAAGCTTTCAGGCTTTAAGCCAGTATTTTACCTTTGTTTAGTCAAAATTTGTCAACAGGTTAATAAGTGAAGGGCACATAAATATATGATCCTTAAAAAATGAGGTTTTTAAGGCCTCAGTGACACCCCCAAATCCTCTTACCTGCTAAATGAGTTGCAGAATTAGCAGGAATGTTTCTAAAATTACAGCCCTGTCATTAATTCAGGTGTTACTGCAGGTTCACACAAGCATCTTGCCAAGTGTCTTAACAGGCCCTTCTGATGTGGGGTAACCCATTCTGTCTGCAATTGCAGCATTTTTACAGCAGTGCTGAGCACAGGGATGCCTGATGTATATTCTGAATGGATGTTGCTTTGTGCTTGTCACTGTGGTGTAAAAAATACCTTCAGCTAACTGAGAATGCAGCAATAAATGAAAAGCAAAATTGTGTTGTGGGTGGTTTCCTGAACCTAAAGTTAAGACATTTTTGTAATGTTATTTTTGTCATATTTATTTATACTCTGGATTTATAAGTCTACACATTCTCCCACTAGCAGTATGTCACTTTTGATGTTGATTTTTTCCCCTTTTTCCTGTTGTTCTCTGCAGGTCTGCTGTTGAAGCCCTGCGTCCTGGTGGCTCCTTGGTCTATTCCACATGCACCCTCTCCAGGGCAGAAAACAGTGATGTGATCAATCTCATGCTGAGCTCCTGCAGGAATGTGGTGCCTGTGGACATAAGTGGGATGGCCAGAGGTGTCTCCCAGGAATTCACTTTCCTCAGTGGAATGCAGCAGCATGAACTGCTGGTTCTCCCAGAGAAAGGGAGAGCGTGGGGTCCCATGTACGTGGCTAAATTAAAGAAAGTGTCCTCCAGCTGATGCCTGTTGGTTATGAGCAGTATATGATAAATTAATATTGATTTAAATACAGTATGTGAATGTGGACACATCCAAGGCAACTGAATTTAGAGCATTGCAGTTTCCTGATCAAAAGGAAGCAAGAAATTTAACTTACTTTAACTTAAAATAATGAATGTGCCTTCCAGCATCGGCTTGTGAGCTTCTGAGAAGTCCTTATGAACTTTGTATTGTTTTCAAGGTGATGCTTTTAAAGACATTTGGATTCTAGAATAGGGGCTTAATGTGGTAGAGTTTTGCACTGGTTTTGGTTGATTTATTTACTAGCTTGGTTCTAATACAGTATGTTTTGAAATAAATTGTTTTCAGTGGTCTGAAGTCATGGAAATCCTGCATTCTCTCTAAACACATTTAGAAATCTGTTTCTGCGAGAACTGATTTGTATGGACAGTGTCATCTTCAAGCACTGGCAGAACAGGTTTCATATTTGCTAAGTTGTTTGCTTAAAAAACAAAGGTGTCTTTTGTTTATAGATGAAAAGGTCAGCAGTTAGATCAACACCAGCGCTTTTTTTTTTTAATTTATTAATATTCTTCTATTTTGAGCTTGCAAAAATATGAATTGAAAGAGTAATGTTGTGTATATTCCAGCCTATGCTTTGCTTGAAGCAGAGTGGAACCCTTTCATCCCCAAGGGTTCTTTGCCAGATGGAAGGTGATAATCACTGGTTTTAAAAACTTTGTTTTAAGGAACAGAGGTAGAAGAGTTGCTCATGTGGAAATGAGGGTGTGTGGCATTGTACATTTATTAATTTCACAGAATCACAGAATGGTTTGGGTTGGAAAGGACCTTAAAGATTATTAAGTTTCAACTTCCTTGCTGTGCATAGGGGCACCTTCTAGTAGACCAGGTTGTCAAGTGTCATCCAACCTTAAATTAAACAATTCCATGGATGGGACAGGATGGGACCTTCTCTGAGCAAGCTGTTCCAGTGTCTTAATATTCTCACTGTAAAGAATTTATTTTTAATATCAAATCCAAATCTCCCTTGCTTCAGTTTGCAAACATTTGGTATATTTTATGTGTGTATCACACAGTTTGCCCTCAGAACACTGCTGTACCTTCTGCTGAGGCAAACAGATGCATCAGAGGTTCTGAAACCTCACCCTTTGCTGTGTGAGCTTTCACAGTTATCCTTTCCCCTGCTTTGGGATGAAAAATGTTTGAGGTGGCCCTGCAGTGTTAAATTGTCAGCAATGTCTCTGAAAACTTGAGAGGCTGTAAAGTTGATGAGTTTGAGTATGCAGAGGATGTTGTGAAAAGGCCTGACAGCATCTGTCCCAGGAACATTAAATGTAATATCCAGATTTGGAGTCATGTCAGGCTGCTGGGTGAAATAACCATGTCTTTGGCAGAATGCTTCCCATCAGTTTCATTTGCCCTGTGGAAATTGAAATGGAAAGGTAAGAATGTAACTTGCTCAGGGATGGAATTGAAATATGTGCTGGAATTGGATGGTTGAGGAGGACGTGGACTGGGTAATCACAGGAAGAACAAAGAGGCCCCTGAAAGCTGAACTCAGTCTCAGCAGATGGGCAAATCCCTGTGAGCTGTTTTAGGCCTGTGTCTAAAAGCTGCACTGAGTTCTACATAACCTTTGCTGATCTCCTGGAGTCCCTTTCCAGTCCCAAACCAGTCTGAAAATGCACCAACAAGAGAGGTAAAAACAAGGTAAATTAATAAGTGATACTTATTTTTGTTTGTACTTGATTAATTCCGGTTTATACTCTATTCCAGAGTGCTGTGGAGTTGGTTTTTAACTTCTGTTCTAATCAGTTCTGGCTGGTGACAGGAATTTGGTGAGCACATGTGGAGTGAGAAGGGAAAAGCAGAAAGGATGGAGGCAGGCCTGTAGAGGTGAGGGGCAAAATTTGCACATGTTGGCAAGTACTGTCCCCTCAAAGGCACTTCTTGAAAAGGCTTCTTGTCCATTCATGTATCTCCTGGATACTTCTGACTTTTGCTCCCCTTCATTACAAGGCTGCAATATTTTTCCTTTTTTCACCTATTTTTTTTTCTCAGACAGGTAATTGTAATTTAATTCCTTGCCATGTCCTTCCTCCTCTTTCCTGAGCAATGCTGATGGAGATGGGGTGGAAAACAAATCAACCTTTCTATCACAGAAGAAATTGCAGCCCCAGGCAAGTTGAGGGCAGGAAAATGACGAATTTTTGTTGCATTGGGGAGTCCCAGAGAAATCTTCATGATCTCTAATGAAGATTAGAGATCCACAGTTGTATGTGTAGCACACAGCACTGCCAGCATCGTAGAGGCAACAGAGAGCTCTGGAGTTCAGCTGCCCTCATGCTTTTCTGCCATTCCCTTTTCCAGCATCCAAAAAGTCACTTCCCTGGGTCAGGGGGTTGGCACAATAAGAAACTGGAAAGCCTTATCTAAAGGCAATTTCAGTGTTTACCAAATTTTATCCTTTATTCAGTGGCATCTGACACAGTTCAATTATGGCTTGTCAAAAGCATTCTCCACTGTGGAGTGGAGTGGAGTGGAGTGGAAAAACAGATTACACAATGTGTGTGTGCTGATGCAGTGACCAGGGGACTCATGAAGTCTTGGCTGTCTCAGAAAGGTGTGGGAAGGGAAGGTTGAAGGAGGGGCAGAATGAAAAGATTGGGACTTGCAGCAGTGGGTGAAAAATGTGCCAATGTGCCATACTGTGGCTTTTAGCATGGAGGAGCAGCAGTGGCTGCTGCCTGTTCAGGAAAAGCTCTGTGAGTGGAGAGGGGAGAGAGCCACAAGTGCTGGGCTGGGAGTATCCCCTCATTTCATTTGACTGCCTTAGAAGGAGAACTGAGGACATCAGTTGTGAAAACTGCAGTGGGATTGCTTTAAATTTGCAGGATCTTTAACCCAGCTATAAACATTTAAATGAAACATGTCTACCTGCTTCTTGCCAAGCAAACAGCTGTACTGGTAGATGTTCCTGTCAGAAAAATTAATTTGGTGAGTGGGAGGAAAATTTCAGAATCAGGCCTGACTGTATTAGAAATTGGTTTACTTCTAAGCTGATGTAACTTTATGCAGTATTGGCTATGAGATTCTTTATTCTGAGGGAAATTGGAACAGCACCTGCTGGTAGTCTCTTAACTTCCAGGGAAAAGTGAAATTTGGAGTTTTCTGTTTGCCAAACCTGGCTCAGAGCGCACAGGGCACACAGTCACTGGTCACAGCTTTTAGATGTCACCCCACCACGTGATTCCTGACTAAAGACTGGTGTTTATCACTTGTCAGAAAATGTTTTCCTTCTCTGATCTTCTTGTCTGCATCCTATGACTTGAGGTCAAGGTCTCCTGACCTTGGAAGTTTTTATTTTTTTAATAGCTTTCCATAGTTTTCAGCAGGGTCAAGCATCATGCACCTTCCACAGCTCCATCTCAAAAATGTTTTGTGTGCCACCAAATGCCTGGATCAAAAAGTCACAGCTGCTCTTGAGAGGGAGAGATGGAACTTAAACCTGGGTCTGTGTTTTGTACTCCACAGAGGAATTTCTGCTCCCTACAGCTGTATCCAAGGTGGTTCTTCCCATCAGTGTTTTTTGCTGTTTATCTCTGAGATGGTCACCATGGTGTTGTGATGATGTGAGCCTTCGTGGGCCCTGAGGAAAAAGAAATGGATCTGCTGCCCTAAACCCTAAACAGGTAATAATCCTATAGTGACAGGTGCTGCAAATGTTGCTGCAGGACTATTTCTTTAAAGATGATAAAGGCACTAGGAGGCAGCACAGCAATCCAAATTTAAATGGAGCCAGCACTTCAGCTGGTCAGTGACATTCTCACCTTGTTCTTTCCAAAATGATGCTTCCCTGACATGAGTCTTTTATCTTTAAGGACCACAGGCATTTGGCCTGACCTCACCTCTGACAAGGCAAGTCAAATAAAGCAGTCAGAGCAGACAAGGGGCTTGTTTGCATGCAGTGTCAGAGCAGATCTTGCAGCATCCACAAGAGATTTGGGTTGATGCTGCTGTGTCTCAGTCCCCTGTGCTGCTCTGGGGTAATTCTTGTACAGCAGCATCTGTGTTGGGGATGGGCCTGACACAATTCCTGCTGATTCTTCCCCTGTCTCCAGTAAATTCCTTTGCTTCTGGGGAGATCTTTAGAGTCACATATCTTCAGTGAGAAACCTGGGAATGGCTTTCAAACCACCTTTTGATGTCATTTGGCCAAACTTCTGTCTCAGAATAAGTGCTGTGGTAACATTTATTATAACCTGCTCGAGGTCCCTTGATCTGAGGATGCCTCAAAACATAGCACATCCTTTACATCTGCTTTTTCCTCCTTAATGTACTGGGTCCTTATTGAACATCCTACCCTAAAAAATAGAGGAGACTGAGTGCTCTCTATCCTAACCAAAACAGGGTAAAGCCCAGAAGTGTGATGAGACAGTAGGGAGAAGGTGGGAGAGAAGCAAATAAGAGTAGAAAAGAAAGGTGGCTTCCTTGTTTAATGATTTCAACCTTGTGGAGAACCATCCCACCACTAACAAATGAGCAGCTCCTCCTGCCTGCATTTGCATGTGGTGGGCCATGAAAAGTAGGGAAAAATGTCACTGATAAAATTCTTGAAAAGTCTTTTTTAATTGTCCCAAAGTGGAATAAAATGCTAAGAGCAAATTCAGAGCTATATATATATATATATATTTCTTTTTATTTTGCTTTGTTGGTTTACTCTAGGAAAAAAATCTATCTTGTCTGAATATGTGAATAAGTAGCTGATGGAATAATTCTTTACAGGGAGGAGAACATGCCAGAACATTTGAGTTGTGTAAAACAGAGCTGCAGAGAGGATCAGAAAAGGTACGAGGAGGAGTAATTTTGTATTGGTGGGAAATAGACTTAATAGTACTTTTTTATCTGTAATTTTTATGATTCTCTGGCTAACCAGGGAAATGTTTAATGTTCCGTGTACAGCAAGTGAAGGTAGAAGAAGGCAAATTGACATCCCCAGCACTGTTATAATTCATTCCATTACTTCAACAGGGCTTTTATATTGTCACGCCCATAAAGCGCCAGTGTGCACGCTCAGAGCCAATCCATCTTTATATACTGCTGCTGATCCCATTGAAGGCAATGGCAAAACTCCCATCAATTTTAATGGCACTGGGATATGGCCCATTTTGTAGATATACAATGGATATTTCCTGCACACGCCATTTTTTGTGTGTAACGTGCTCCTCAGCCAAGGTTCAGAGAGTGTTTTATAAAGTGGTGAAGTCACAACCATTGATGTGATCTGCAGCTGATGAGATAATGTGATCTGCCTCCAAAACAGGATTTAAAGGTTGGCTTTTATTTATCTACCTGTTTTTTAATTTGCTAGGGGCACAGGATGCATGCAGAATGTCTCCATGTGTGGAGTACTGCCTTTGAAAAAGTTGCCCAGATAAATTGCAGGAGGTAACTGTTTTAGAAATAGAGGCTGCCCTTGCAAGGTTAACATTATGCTGCAGCACTTAAAAACTAGAAAGCATCAAAGAAAATTGAAGGCAGTATGGATCAGTGGGTTAGTACATAACACAGCAGTCTGCAGCAGCAGAGGCTAAGAAAGGTCCCTTTTGAAAAGCAGCTGTTTGGATAGCGACTCACTCAATCAGCAAGGTACAAACAAACAACAACAAAAATTAATTGGATGAGTACATTAACTCATGTTGTAATTGGGAAATGTTTTGAATGGAGGCAAGGTGCCTGCTACCTGCAGAATCCATCATCCTTGACCCTCTTTAAAGAAAATGCACAATGCATGAGCCATATTTCAGTGGCTGTGAACCTTGTTGGCTGTGCACTGAAAGCTCTGGATTCAGAGCAGCTTTCAATGTGTGCACAGTGGAAATGGGATGAGCTGCCAGGCTGGTGTTCTCACTCAGCTTCCTTTCCTCACCAGAAAGGATGCTGGAGAGCAGCACATTCCCAGTCCAGTGCACAAGCAGGGTTTGCAGAAGAATCAAACAAGAAGTTTGCAGTGTAACTAAAACTTGTAGGAGGTACCTGTGAGTGCATAATTCAGCAGGCCTGAATTGCCTTTTCTATTTTTTGCAGAATACAAAATGCTTTAGCTTCTAAACTCAGCTTTGCTTTAGTCTAAGATATAAGCTGCTTTTTAAAGTTATTGATGCTTGACCCATGAAATAGAAAATTACACGTAAAATGGATTTTGAGCCCAGATTTCCCATGCTGGAACCAAAATACTGTAGAGTGCAACAGCTATCTAGCAGATCTAGTAAAAAGAAAATTAAGGTAATTACAGTAATGGCTGGAACACCAATTTTTCAGTTACTTCCAGGTGTTTTCAAGTGGCAGAAAACTTTGAAAAAAGAGTCTTAAGAGTGTTGGGAACAGAACTCTGAACTTCTGGGTTTGTCCCTTTTCAATGGTCAGATTTGCATATATTTGTAGCTGTGGAGCTCCTAACGATATGCAAGCAGCACATTCTTAACCATTAAAACTTGGGTATGTTTTGTTTTGTCTGTTTTATTGAACATGCTTGATTATTGATTTTTCTTCATATACTTTGAATAAGAGGAATATCTAGAAACAAACCCATGCTATGGAGAAGTATCTTAGAATTCTGAAATCTAAAGTTTCTTCTTTCACCTTTTTCTTTCTGTTGAGGAAAAGAAAGCAGGAAATGTGCTGTTTCTGAAATAGGCTGTAAAAAGGATAATATAAAAACTTCCCGGGAAAGCACATCCTCTGTTGACTTAAAAGGAAAATGGGAATTCCCTTTCTCTCTTTACATGATCCCTTTAGTCTGTCTGCAGGGTTAACAGTGCCTAAGTGACCCTGAAAAAGTTTTTTTCCTTTTCAGTTCATTGGGCCTTCAAAATAATTTCAGCACTTGGAAAATGTTAAACTTAATGCTCCAAATGGACAAAGTTTCAGTTCTATAAGACAGGTCCTCAGGTACACAACTGATGGTGGAGGAAAGTCTTGTTGATCTGCTGTGGGGGGATTTTAATAAAAATATTGTGTAGACTTGTGTGGGAAAAGCAAAGGTAAAGTTTTGTTGGAATACCTGCAACTGGTATACACTATTTAATGGATTATTCCTATAATGAATGAGGCAGGATCAGGCCTGAAAAAGGCATGAATTTCATGAAAACATGACATTTTGCAGTCCTTCCTACCCAACCCTATCCCAGCTAATATTTTCTGGCCTTCTTCTCAGAATGGCAGAGACTTTTATGGTCTCTGCCTGGTGAAAACTGCTGTT